GGGGAGGGAGGGGGAAGGCGTGCAGTGGGAGGAACGAGGTTCGGGGAGATAGGGGGCGGAGGTGGGAGGTTCGGGGAAATAGGGAGGTTCGGGGAAATGGGGGCGAAGAGGGAAACTTAAAATGAGGGGACAGGAGGTTCAGGAGATTGATTGATTGATTGATTGGTTTTTGTTGTTGTTGATCTTTTGTAGTATACTGTTGTCGTGCTCCGATCTTTTGAACTTTCCGGGGGGAGGGGGCAGGCTCGCAGTGTGAGGAACGAGGTTCGGGAAGACGGGTCAGTCTCTCTCTCTCTCTCTCTCTCTCTCTCTCTCTCTCTTTCCCGGCCTCCCAGTGTCTGAATACAAGTACAGGGTTGCTCCACTACTGGCCGCAGGCAGAAAAGACACAAATCATGACTGGCCACATGCAGAAAAGACACAAATCATGGTGGTGTACCTTTCCATGCTCTAGCAGAAGATTCATTCTCATTTTCCAGAATGAGTTATTAGTGGAGCCAGGCTCGTTGCAAGATGCTTGGATGTGTCTGCAGGCCTTTGTTTTCTCTGTTGATTGTCCAAGTGGTCCACGTGGCTGTCCAGGAGCAAATATGCAAAATTACTCACCAAAATGTGCAAATTGAGAATGAATCTTCCTCTCGAAGATGGGGAGATACACCACCATATCTTTTGTCTTTCGTGCATCTGGTGAGTAGTGGAGTGAGGTCCTGAAGACAATGAATCTTCTGCTGGAACATTGGAAGATACACCGACATATTTTGACAGCTCAGTACCAACTCGAGGAAGATACGCCGGCATATAAAACGGCTCGGTGCATGTACCAACTTGATATCTTATGCGATGGTTGTTTTTCCTTTGCGACTTTTTTTTTGCAGCAAGCTCAGGTGGTGGCTCTGCCTCCTGTTTAGTTCGCTCTCCGTTCCTGGTTGTATGAATGCACCCCATGTAGCATGGGCCGCATTCATCGTTCCATCTCATCCCTGCCTCTGGACTCTGTGGCTTTGCCACGTCGGGTCTGACTTGTTCTGGTAAAGGGGATTTGTTCCTGACCAATTTCACTAATTTTGACATGTAAAAGTGACATATTAGAAACCGAAGACAGCTTTGGCTACAGATTTCTAACTGCCAATATGTCAATGGCAAAGCATCAAAACTTATTTTTGCACTACAAATTTCACAATGTACTCATTCTTCTCCATCTGTACATGCTCTAACAAATTATCCCCACCTGCCTTCTTAGGGGACAAATACCACTGCGCCTTAAGCCCAGAGGGAACACACTCAGGACTCAGGAGTCTGCATTTCCAGCCTATGCAGCATTATGCACACAGGTAATAGCCCGAACAGCTTCTTAGAATTAAGGGCACAGTGAGCCAGAAGGACACGAATTGACAATTACCGGGAAGAGAAGGAACGGTCAGAGCCACCCACCTTTTCCAGAGTCTGTTTTGTTGCCATCTGGTTGAGGCTCAGGTTGAGGCCCAGGACACATATCTGGAAAAGAGCAATTAGGCTGTGCCGGAGGTAATGCATTGATTGTCAAAGGTGGAAAGGTTTTATCTGCAAAGCAAAAGACAAAGGAAAACAGGGCAACATAGAACCAAGGCCAAGAAATTGTGAGTAAGAATGCCAGCAAATTGTAGGGACAAGCGACGAACTGGGCCAAGAAACTTGACTAATAACAAGCAGGTGCAGCCAGCGCAGCTCCGCCCGCGAAAAAAGTCAGGAAGCTTTTCTTTGTTAGTGTATGGCTGGTGCTTTCTGTATCACTGTTTTAGCTCTTAGCGTCTTCTGTCTTTCTAAGTGTTTGTGGAAAGCAGAATAGTAAACAGCAATAGTCACAAACAGCAAGGTCATACACGGTCACAAACAAAATAGTAAACAGCAACGAATCGCTAAAACCGATTCGAAGAACATTATCATCGTCACCGAGAAAGAGTAGAAAACAGAATCGCTAAACTTAAAATAAACCGGCCACAAACGCCATCCACATATTCAATTTCACCGATTCGATTAACAACAGGTCAAGTTATGTTGACCGGTCACACCGCGCTCAGCTCTCTCTCTCTCTCTCTCTCTCTCTCTCTCTCTCTCTCTCTCTCTCTCTCTCTCTCTCTCTCTCTC